TCTTAAGAAACGTTTGACAACTATCTGGACATTATAAAGATTTTGTATGTTAAATTTGAAAATTTTCTGATGCATATAAGTATTTTTTATCTTAAAATGAAAATTACATTGCAAGTTGGATAGGCAATATGTGAAAAGAAAAAAGGCATGATAAAAACAATGCTTTACAAACCTTAAGACTTAATAAAAAAAAATTTATATTTTGCATATGAAAGCATTGTAATGTTTACTAGTAACCTGCCAAATTTCATTAACATTCGCTTACTAATTTAAAAGTTATAGCATGGAAACTATAACAAGCACAAAAAGGTTATGAGGTCGGTCCCAGGGACCGAGCCCATGCTGAAAGAGTTAACACACTATTTGTCTGACAATAACTTGCTAGAGCTGAAAACATCAGCTGCAGATGATGCACTTGAACACTAGGAAAGGCTAGTGCATATCTGTTGCATCTGTATAAGAGTTGAAAAATCAACAGAAGACTAAATAATTTGAGTTACTGCCTGAAGAAAAAAAGGTTTAAAGGTGAAAAGATGATTCCCCATTGACCAAGACTGTACATAGACTACTACCTGCCAATGATGATTTTGAGAGATACACACATGACTAGCAGTAACATAAAAATGCTCCTATAACTGCAATAGGTCAACTGGGAGTGAAAAAAATATACTAACACAGCATTCAAGCAATGGAACAGTTTTGGGAACAGGTACAAAAATAATTGTAGCACACAGAACATATTTAAATTGGTAATGCTCTACTGACACTAGACCTAAGTTTGAGATGACAGAATATAATGATATTTTGTTTGTTTGTTTGTTGAATTTCAAGCAAAGCTACTCAAGGACTACCTGTGCTATCATTGTAATTTTAAAATGATAAGATTAGGAAGGCAGGTAGTGAGCACCTCCCACTACCAAATATTGGGCTATTCTAATTGAATAGTGGAATTGATTGTCATATTATAATGCTCCCATAGCTAAAACAGGAAGCATGTTCAAGGACAAGTCTCAATCCCATGACCTGCAAACTGAGAGTTGAACCACCTAACCACCAGACCATGCTAATCCCTATCTACAGGAGGGTAGCTAGTCAACCACAACTCTTGGGCTACTCCGATCAAAAGGTGAGATTTCAGTATCACTAAAGTGCAGTTTGATTTTTTTCCCTACAATCTGGCACAATAATCACTATGACATGGACTAATGGAGATGTAACAATGATAAATATGTAATATTAAGACATTGATAAAAAAAATTAATCAAGTTAATTTCTTAATAGGAGAAATTAAAAACTAACATAGAACAAATTTTGAAATGAAACAAATATTGCATTTTTTTCATAGTTACAGTAAGGATGTAATACTTTTAAATTTAAAACATTTATTAAAAAAAAAACTGCCACTGTTTACTTTCATTGTTTTAGTAAAAGCCACCTTAAACTGGTAAGTTGTCATCAGTACACATTTGTATTTTATTCTATTTTTCTTACTGTAATAACATCACAATACAGGATGGTGGAAAAAAAAATTACCCCAGAGCAGCAAAATAACTAACTAATGTTTCAGATTAGTGTTTGGTATATTTTAATAGTACATTAACAGAATATAAAGAATCAGAGGTTTGGTGTTGTAATCCAACTGTTATCCAAGCATAACAGATTTACATGTGGGGCAATATACTTTTAGACCACACTATACTTAGTTTTATTACTGGATAATCTAAACACCATTTTAGTTTTGAGACATTACACAGTACAGATAACATTCAGTGCAGTGAAAACAGATCATAATTTGATGTCTTCATCTGATTATAAAAACCAATAAAATTTTTTATGCACATCCTTACCTGAACACTCATCATCTTCTGAGGAGCTCTTCTGAAAAGCCTGAAATGTTAGTTGATTGGAAATACTTGATGAGGAATCACTTCCTGGATCTTCATAAGTCTGAATAATTGAATTTCAAACAAAATGATATCAATAAAGAGAGATGTCTTGTGGTGAGTTTAAATATTATGGTAAAGTGTTTGATATGTCAGAAAAAAACAAACAAACTTGAAACATTATTGAATTGAAATTATTTCTTTGACTGTAGAAAGAAAGTGTGCAAGTTTCAGTTTACTAATAAAAATCTCCCTTTCAACCAAAATTTCTGGAAACTACATATCTTACTTACAGCATCAAAACCTTGTGTTCCAACCTTGAACTGAATGATCAATTTCTTGTACTTGTAGGCCTTTTAGTTTAAAAATAAATAAAAAATACAGGAATATTCTACTTTCAAGTTACTTAACCAACTTTGATAAAAAAAAAAATCTAAAAATCACAATATTTATATACGAGGCCTGTGAGAAAAGTGTCCGACCTTTGGCCGGGGAACAAAAAC